TGTGTTTATAACTTGTGAGATTTTTTATGTCTGGGGTATCGACTTCATGGGCCCCTTCCCTCCATCCTTTGGTAATACATATATCCTTGTTGCTGTTGACTACGTCTCTAGGTGGGCTGAGGCGCAAGCTTTGCCCACTAATGATGCTAGACCTGTTTGTGGTTTTCTAAAGCAGCTATTCTCCCGGTTCGGGACACCTAGAGCCATCATAAGCGACCGCGGTACCCATTTCCAGGGTCAATTCGATAAATTGTTATCTCGCTATGGTGTAACTCACAAGGTGTCCGTGGCCTATCATCCTCAAACCAGTGGCCAGGCCGAGCTGACGAACCGGGAGCTCAAGTGGATCTTGGAGAAGACAGTGAACCTATCCTGCAAGGATTGGTCCACCAAGCTCGATGATGCTCTGTGGGCATATCGCACTGGCTACAAGACGCCCATTGGTACCTCACCGTACCGGCTTGTCTATGGAAAGGCATGCCATCTGCCTATGGAGCTAGAGCACAAGGCCTTCTGGGCCCTTAAGCTGCTAAACTTGGATGTTAGTGTTGCAGGTGATGAGCGAAAAATGCAGATGTTGGAGCTGGAAGAGTGGCGTTATCACGCCTATGAGAACACCAAGCTGTACAAGGAGCGCACGAAGCGCCTCCACGATGCACGGTTGCGGGGTCCGAAAGAGTTCCAGGTTGGTGATCGAGTTCTCCTTTATAACTCTCGCTTGAAACTCTTTCCCGGAAAACTCCGTTCCCGGTGGTCTGGACCGTCCACGGCCACGCAGGTGTTCCCGTATGGCACGATTGAGATTGCTAGCCCGCAAACTGAGCCGTTTAAAGTGAATGGCCATCGTCTCAAGCTCTACCTGGGAGACGAGGTCGAACGTGCGGAGTTAGCAGTGGAGCTCGCGGACCCTTAGTTCCGCAATTGGCGTCTAGCTAAAAGACGGTAAAGAAGCGCTTGTGGGGAGGCAACCCCACCACGGTTTGCATTTCTACCTTTGTTTTTATTTATTTATTTCATCTTTGTCGGTTTTTTGAGTCTTTGCGTCAGTTAGGAGTCAGTCTGGAAAGTTTTTCGTGCCTCGGGCGATTCGTTTTGATGTGTGATTGGGTAAATTTTAGAGCCGGGGCACGAATGAATCTTGGTGGTTTGAGATTGAAAATTGAAAAAATTGCATTTCAGGCTCGGCAGTAAAAACACGGGTAGCAGGGGGCCAAAACACGGCCGTGTTTCGCTCTGAGCCCGCCCGTGTTTTGCTTTATGCTCTCGGCATAAAAAGCACGGGCTGAAAACACGGCCGTGTTTCGCCCAGAGCCCGCCCGTGCTTTAATGGGGCAAAACACGGGCGCGGAGCACCCGAAACACGGCCGTGTAATGGCCCGCCTGTGTTTCGGCCTCCCCCCTATAAAAGCGATTTTTTCAGCCAAAAATCATATCAGACCATTTTTTTTTTCAAACCCCCCCAGCCCCCCTCACCGGAAAATCGCCCCCTTCACCTTCTCCCTCGATTTTCCGGCCATAACTCCCTCTCCCGACCTCCAAATCACAAACCGCGACCGCCCCCACGCTCCTGGCATCAAGGGACACATTCCCCAAAGATTTGGGCTGGTTTGGCCGAGGTTGGGTCGCCGGCGGTGAGCTTTCCGGCGAGTCTCCGGTGTGTTTTCCGGCGACTTTGGGTGCTTCTTTCCACTTTCTTCACCTCTCTCGTGGTCTCTTCTTGCGTCTCCAGGTGTGTTCTCCTTGTCTTTTACTATATTTATGGAGAATCGATACCTAGAGTAAGGTGAAGAACTTCTGATTGTGGAATGCATGGTTTGGGAATATTTTGGGTTTGGGAGTGTGATTGTGCTGATTGCGGTATGTGAATTTTCTGTGGCCTCGCTTGGCGCTATTTAGGACAGTTGTGGTATGCTTGTTTTACCGGGGGCCTAGTCCACTGTCCGAATCGCTCGATTTGAGGGTCCCCGGTATATTTTGCTGTGTATTTCTCGTATGATGGGTATGTGTATGTCGCCGGGAGTCTAGTCCACTGTCCATATCTTTCGATATGAGGGCTCCCGGTGTGGGTTTGGCCTAACATTGACCCCGTTTGCTTGTGCACACTTTGTCCTTCATTGTGTTTTGCAGGATCATGGAGACTTACCTCGACCAGCTGAACATCGTCCAGCGCCACAAGCTGCGGAACCTCCATACCCGCAGCATCGCCGAGCACCATCACCTCGATTGGGAGGTATTCGGAGAGCTTCATGCAAGGCCACAGATGGAGGCCGCGGTCCGCTCCCCTGCTTGGCAGGATCTTCTCACCCTTGCCGAGCCGACCTACAAGGAGCTCGTCTTGGAATTCTACGCCACCTTCAACCACAACTCGAGGGGGAACTCCGACCATTCTAATGCAGTCCAGTTCACACTCGGCGGGGTGGAGCACTCCCTCAGCTATTGGGAGTTCGCCAATGCCCTTCGTCTAAATTCCCGGACAGCAGGCGGGCCTCCTCTCCGGTTGGATCTCTCTGATCCCACAGACTTCGCTTCCCAGGAGTACTTCCAGACCATTTGCCTGCCGGACAGTGTGGATGAAGAGTACGTGGCCAGCCAGACGCGGGCTGCTCTCCTCCGTCCGGAGTGGCGGATCCTCAACCACCTCATGTGCACTTCTTACACACCCAGCGCCGGCTCGTCCAACCGGGTCACACTCCGGACTCTCTGGTTGACGCATGCGATGGGTCGCTCCGAGGACACCATCCAGCTGGGATCTGTGCTTGCCCGGACGTTCACTAAGCCAGCCATCAGCACGTCTCGCGCCCTCGTTTGTGGCCCGGTGATCACCGCCTTGGCCCGCAACTACGGGGTGGACTTCACAGAGATGACACTGGTCCGAGGGCCGAGCCCACTCAGTGAGGCTAATCTTCGCCACCAGCACTTGATTGCGCAACACGAGCGTGTGCGCTGGATCGAGGGCCTTCCTCAGCCACCTATACCTGCCGAGGGCGACCAGGTCGAGTCGAGCGCCGCTGGTGGACGCTGAGTTCATCGCGTTCCTCGTTGTGCCCAGGCTCCCGCGAGCCCCTCTCCTGCTCCCCGGTCTCCATCTGCAGGACCACCTCCTCCGGTGGTGGTCCCCATCTCCGACCAGTTGGCGGCGATCTCGCAGCAGAATGAGCGCATCTTGGCCGGCCAGGAGCTCATCCACACCCGCCTTGATCGTGAGCGGGACCGAGGGCGTCGTCTCATGTCGGGGCAGCACTACATCATGTCCTACTTGGGCTTGGACCCGAACGCGGTCCACTACCCGTTCGTGCAGTCCCCAAGGTACGAGGATGAGTACCCTCCACCCACCGGCGATGGTGGTGATGCCTTCTAGGGCGGGTTTTGTGTTTTATCTGTTTTCCAGACTGAGACTCCGTGTTTTGTGCTTTCGTTTTGTTTTGTTTCTATCTTGGATTGTAGACTTGGTACTCTGACTCCTATCACCCAGTGTGTTTTTTTTTTGTCTCTAGCTCTGTGCCCCTTCTTTTAACTGGTCCGCCATCCAGTCAACGTTCCTGACCACTGTTTCACGGTAACATCGTTCCCCTTCCCTCTGCTCCATTGAGGACATTGTCGCGTTTAAGTGTGGGGGGGTTCTTTGTATGAATTGGAACGTATATATGTGTGCTTGGAGCCTAGTCCACTGTCCAAATCGCTCGATTTGAGGGCTCCAAGCACGGCTGTTTGCTTGATGATTGATCGTATTGGCACTGTGGATGTGATTAGTGAACTGAATGGCTTTTGACTTGATACATGACAACTTGAGTGTGACTTAGACAACTTATTGTGATGACTGAGATGTGTAGTAGAATTGTGTAGGGGGAGTTTCTCAACTGTCTGCCCACCAAATGTGATTTGGTTTGATCACTTGCTTTTGACAGTCAGTTATGCATCTAGTTCAGGGAATCAGAACAAGAGATAGAGCATATAGGTAGCCATGTGATATTTGAGCCTGCTCGTTTCTTTCTTGTGCGATAGTTTCCTCTTCCATGATGTGCAGCATTCACGTTGTCATTAGCTAAGATGGTGGAGGCATAGGATTAACCCGCGACCAAATTGACTGTCCTGGTGTGTCATACCCCTAGTCAGCCCCTTTGAGCCGTGTGTTTTCCTTTCTTTCGGTCTTCAATGAAAAGTCACCCTTTTGCATCTTTTAGAAGGTTCCACAGAGTGATTTTTACATGTTCTCTGCTGTTTCTGCTAAATGTAATGTGAAAGTTGGAGGTAGTGCTTAAAAGTTGGGCAGGTATTTGAAAATGTGCAGAGGTGGTGGTTCTCTTAAGAAATGAAAAAATAATGAAAGAAAATCAAAGAAAAAAAATGAAAGCAAAAGAGAGCCACCACCAAAAATCTGAATAATGCCCATGTAGTAGTGTTTCTTAGCAGTCTGGCTTAGAAATACTAGCATTTATGTAACCTCCTTCGCTCTTGTGCTTTGAACTTGAGTAATGCAGAATAGCAGAAAGAAAGTTATTGGTTCGATTGATTGTGAATCTGTTGGGTTTGGAAATGTGGAACCTTGTGCTGTATGAATACTTCCACCACCTAAAAGGCCTTTTCCCCATGTCCAAGACACTAGCCAGTCATCTGAACCTGTGTCTAAGACCTCCGGATTAGTTAGTGATGACACCCCATATGTGAACTCTAGCACTTAGAGGCTGCATTCATGGTGAAGAGATGTTAGGGATTGAGAGTTTAAGCATGCGCATTTTTCGCATCATATTGTCCTGACCCCACTGGTCGAGAGTGAGCGATTCATTTTCTTTTATTCTCTATACTCTTTATCCCGGTGAGGACCTAGATTGCTCGGTCTTAATTCTGATATCTTGAACTTTGTGCATGATGTGACTGTTTTGAACAAGTGGTTGAGTCAAGTCTATGTTGGTTGGTGAACAGAAGGGAGACTCTTCCTTTGCTCGATGTTACTGCATTCGAATGTCATCTGTGGTGGTTGTCTAGGTTGTCATTGAAGTTGTTCATGTGTTACTGATCGAAAGCCAGTATGATCCACGTGTTTTTACTGCCGAGAGCAAATTCAAGTTGGGCAGACATTGGCTAAAAACACGGGCAGAAGCACGGCCGTGTCCACAAAGCATGGCCGTGTCCACCATCAAACACGCCCGTGTTTCGCGCAATGCACAGGCCGTGTAATTAACCCTAGCCAAAACACGGGCGGGCTGAAACATTACACGGCCGTGTCCTCGACCGTGTTTTGGCCACTGATGCCTTTTTAAGCATATTTTCAGCCAAAGAGAAGGGGATTCGAGTTTTAGAGAGACAGAGCGATTCCTAGAGAGAGAAAGCGACGAACAAGAGTCTCCAAGTGCCCTAGATTGATCTTCAACACCATTGGAGGCCAGTTTGAGCTTGGAGAAGTGCCGATCAACGTCCAGAAGCAGGAATCCATCCTTCACAGTATGAATTCCGCGTGTGATTCTGCTTTTGCCTCTTTCTCCATGGAGTAGTTCTCCCATTCATCTGGGTATGGAGAACCCTAGATTTGTATGTTAGGCTTTGATTGTATGAACCCAAGTACTGATTCTATGATTTGATTATATTCGATTGAGGTTTGAATGATTGAATGACTTGAATCCTGATCAAATTCCTGTTGTTTCTGCTTTAACCTAGAATGAGAATATCTGCCTAGGTTGATAGAGCATCCTTGATTGAAGGTAGGGAGTTGGTGACTTTAGTCGAGGAGCCAACTCACTATTCTGTACCGGATTTACTGCGGTAGTGGAGGTTTTGTTTGTTAAGGCCTCAATCTGTTTACTCCGGTGGAGGTTAGTCGCCCGCTAGAGACTCAGATTGAGAGGGTCTGAAGACCTTTAGTCGAGACTTCAGGCTGTTTAAGAACCTTCCGCAGTATAACTATCATAGAAACTGAACTTGGTAATTACAATCCGGCTTAACTGCAGTCTAGGGGGAACCATATCCGGGTGACCTCTCTTAACCTGAATACAACAGTTTACTTGCTTTGTTAGTTTGATAGTTTAGACTTGCATTCCAGTTTCATTGCTAGATAACAAGAATTCACTGAGTAGTCATCAGATCTAGGACCCGGGTTGACATATAAACATAACCCGCTATACTACGCTTTAGGAAATGGTTTCACTTGGCCAATTCCTAGGGTGACAGTAGAAGTGAGTCAACACCTTCAGGAAAAAGGAAGCTTAACCTATCCAGAAAGGATTGGTGTAAATGGCCACATGTCGTAATGACGAGTGTCGTTGTTCGCTCACCACAAAGTGGGAGGTTAAAGAGAGGGGTTCTCTCATCAATTCTCTCAGGTGACTTTCCTCTTCGCGGTGTTACCGGTGATTGATCTCGTTAGAAATTGATATTCAAAACTTACAGGTCCAAACAAAAGTCCACTTTGCCAGCCCAAAATCCAAGCCCAACCAGATTTGGACCAAATACAAACCCGATCGAACCAGAATGGTCAAACCAGACCATGCCCCACCCACTCACTAACCAATCAAAAAAATACATGTAAACCTATATCCCTATGAGCCAATCAAAACCCCCCACCAATAACCCCTCTCCTGCTATAAAAACTCTATCAAAGTAAAAAACAGAGGAGGCAGAGGTTGGCCATTTCCTTCTTCTCCATGCTTCTACTCACTTTTCTTTTTGCTTTCCCCCCCCCCCCCCCACGCTTTGTACTTGCCTTTAGAGGTGGCAATTTCAATCCAATCCACCAATCCAATCCATCAATCCATTAAAAATATCCACCTAATCCAATCCATTTAATCCAAATCCAATTGGATTGGTGGATTCATGGATTGGATCCATGGATCAATGACAAATTACGGTTTAGTACCTATAATTTTTATTTTTTACATTTTGGTACCTAAAATTTAATTTTTTATACGAAAAATATCATTGGAAAATTACGTTTTGGTGCCTAAAATTTTTCATTATGACATTTTAGTACCTAAACTTTTTACATTTTACATATTGGTCCTTGGTTGAGGATGTCATTTGGATTCATGGATAATCCACCAATCTACTTGATCCAATCCATGAATCCACCAATCCATTAGATCCAATCCATTTGATCCATGGATCCACCAATCCAATCCATCAATCCACCAATCCAATCCATTTGCCACCTGTACTTGCCTTTCATCAGGGTCTTCTTCTTCATCTTTCTCTTTCTTTCTTTTTTCTTCTTTCTCACCCACCAGCAGAGAAAAACATCGGGCTTCTTCTTTGGGATCTTTCTTTCTCCTTACATGGGGGTTCTTTCTTCTTCTTCTTCTAATAAAAACAAAGACAACGAAAACTCTTTAACACTTCCTTTTCCTCAAACATACAACCGAAACCAAAATAGACAGAAAGAAAGAGCAATAAATCTCAGCAAAATACTCTAGTTCTTCCCTTCTTGTTAACTACTCAAAAAAGACGGAACAAAGACCCTGAAAAATCACAATTTCTTTATTATCATACCCGCTCATAAACCCACACAAACAAACATTCAAACAGTGGCCAAAGAACACACCATTCTTGAAATCCTAGCATCCAAATCAGACTAATAACACCCACTGCTAAAGGCAGCTTACAAAAAAAAAAAAAAAACAGACACTAACACATACAACAGCGAAACTACAAAGAAGGAAGCAGACAACAAGGCGGAAGCAAAACTCCAAGCAGGTAGGAGACTTCTACAATTGTCAAAACCATCCCCGACATTCAAATAGCCAAGGTTGGTAGACTAAATCCAAACATCATCGTCTCTATGTCCATTACTACTATCGTCCATTGAGTTTACCAATTTATCGTGATGTTATAAATAATCTATCAATATATATATAAAGATTTTTTTTCATATATCACTTAGTCTAAATTTCTACTTCATCATTTTCTCTTTATCTAACAGACATATGCAAAGATCTGTTTCAATATACCTGCATAAAGGTCTTAGGCTCTTAGCTAATTATATATACACCATTCACATAAGCGAGTAAAGCACAACTAAAACTATCACCGAATACACTAATTTCCAGAATCGAGAACCAAACAACCATGTAGATACAGATTATGTTTCACAACTAGAATCACCACAATCATTTGCAAGTTGAGGCCAAATTCAGCATTGAAAACATGTTATAAGACTCACTAAGCACAAGCATAAGTAGTGTCTATAGTCATGTAACATGTAAATTTACCCGCTTTCCATCTTCTTTGTTTTAACCATTTCTAGAAGCCTTAACCATATTTACCAAAACCCCCATACTAACGCAAAAAGAAACCACTCGAAACCCACTTAGTCGAAGGATCAAATCTGAGTTTTCAAGCCATGAACCTTTTTTTTTTTTTACAAAGGATTTACTTGTATTGCTCTTTGAAAGAATGATTACAAGGCCAGCCAACAAAGGAATCCAGAAAGGATCAAGGCCAGACAAACTCAAGCACACGATTGAACAATCTGTGTCAATGAAATACAACAAGGAAAGCAAAACACAGAAAAGATCAACCCAAAAAATCTGCAAACCTTGAATAAGATCCAGAAGTCACCGAAAGCTCTCCTGCAAACAAATCAAACAAAGAGCACCAAGCACAATCAGCTAGTCCGATCCGATCAAGTCCTTGACAATTGAAAACAACGCCAAAGGCCGCCTCCTGGGAGTCGCTCGAAGACGCTCAACACAGTGAATCTCTTGTTAGGGATTACATGGCGGTGGAAAGAGTAGAGGGTCGAAATGCTCCGAGCTGAAAAAGCAGAGGGAGACCAGGCACCAAGAACTTGGTCAAGGGAGAAGAGGAACCCAAACTCCAAAATCCAAGTTCTGAAACCGCAGCCAGAAGGGCCAGACACCGCCTTCATACCACCGACGCCGACCAAGAGGCAGATAACTACCAACAGGGGAAACGGAGGGGAAATCGATGAATCGATTCACCATGCAAGTTGATGAACCCACCATCTAGAGAGGAGACCCCTAGATGCTTAACCCAGCCCCAAGGAGAGCAAATCCAGAAAAGGGACCCAAGAACAGGGCAACGAAAGGCCAAAAAGGCAAGAGAAGCTAAACAGCTAGAAAATTCGATTGAACAAGGCGAAACCAGGTACAAGGAAGCACGTAAATAAAGCAAGGAGAAGGAAAGAGCATTGGGATACCGCCGGTCACCAGGAGGTGCCGGCGGCAACCCCTGTAAAACCCTACAAGAGACGCTGGAGAAGAGAGAAGGCAGAGCACAAATTTGAAATAAAGTAAGCCATGAACCTCAAAACCCAGAAAACGACCCTAAATACCAGTCATATTTTCAATCCAGTTTCACCATTAAAATCATATCGTCAAACCCCCTGCCCAACAACAGAAAACACTTCCAAACCCCATTTTAACACAAATTCAAGTTCTTCATAACATGTCACAAGCTTCCAAAATCGAAAAGCACATTATCACCACCCAAGCTCACAATTTCAAAACCCACAATCCAATTTCAGATTCATAACCACAAATGAAACTAATTTCCCCAATTTGTAGCTGAAATAAGTCAAAACCACCACAAACCGATTCACATGAGTATAAACCAACCAAGAACACATAATCACACAACAAACAAAATCCCTCACCATCACTAGAAAACCCATACAAACCCAAAATCGCCAAACCCCCAAAAATCAGAAACCCCACAAATCTTACCTGATGTCAAAACTTCCTCTGCGGTAAAAGTCGCCGGCGACACCGCCTGTATTCGCCGGCGGTGAGCTCTCATCCCACTCAGTTCCGAATGATTCCATCTCTCCCGTCCTCCACCAGATCGAACCATAAAAACCAAAATAAAGATAAAAAAATCAGAACTGAACAAAAGTCCAAGAAACCAAATAACCCCAGACATAAAAATCAAAACCCTCACCTGTCAATACACTGTCAGTCGCCGCCCTTGCTTCTCTCTGCTTCTCCGCCGCTTGTCGCCGCCGGCGATGCTCAGGCTACCGATGCTCAAGCCACCGCCGCTATTTACTCCCCACCGTCCTTTGTAAAAATCGCATAAAAACTAATAATTTTAGAGCTTCGAACCCATAAGCTTCCAACCACAATATATGCGTAGCCAACCAACCAACCAGTAAGGCTACCACAAATTTCTTGACATTTATCTTTTTCGTTCAATTTTATTGTTGATTAAGCTTAATACGCAAAGCCATATCGATTAATCGTGTTAAGATCTCTTTTTTACCAAGATAAGATTATCTCTAAATATTTCAAAATATTAACAACCTTGATTAATATCCTCGTTTGGCCTTCTATTGTTCGTACATATACTTACTTACCAAGTAAATTTCTTAAATACGTAATCATGGTCAATAGACCGTGATGGTCATTCTCGATGAAATTCTTACAAAGATAACCTATCATTCAATCACTAAAAATCACTTCCTAACAATTCAAATTATCATCTTAACCACGACCAATAGGGCGTGTTAAGATCATGTCTTTAGAAGATCTATTCAACTTGAACGAACTACATGGACTTTGATCCCGACTAATCGGGTACGTAGGCAACCAATAGGTTTCAAGTCAAACCAACATATTTTCTCAACAATTTAACGTTTAAGCGTTAATATTTCATATCACTCATTTTAATCGAACTACGTGGACTTTGATCCCGATTACTCGGTTACGTAGGTAACCAATAGGTTCGAGTCCAACAAACCAAAAACTCTTTCTTTAATTTTGAGAATTATGTCAATAGACGTATGATCACATTGTATATTAATCAATACCTAATTAATTGAATCTCATAATTAAATACATGAATAAAGCCAAATAATATTCATACACTCAATTCCTTCAAAAACTTATCAATTTAAGTAGTACCAATTTTGAGCGTTGTGGGATGTGAATACACTTACCCACACATAACCGTACTCGCGAACCCAAAAATCTAAATTTCGCAGACCAGAATTCGGTTTTGACCCTAAGTTCGAGACCAGACCAAATGAGTGTTCGATCCACTCCAAGTAAGATCGATAGCGAATCCGAGCAATTCGTGACGGATCCCCCGATTTCGAGGGCCGGTTGCAACATTTACCACCAACCAAAAAGCCTTTTCCCCATGTCTAAGGCCCTAGCCAGTCATCTGAACCCATGTATAAGACCTCCAAACAAGCTAATGATAACATCGATCTTGTAATTTCTAACAATTAGAGGTTACCATCCTAGTGAAGAGACGATAGGGCTGAGCGTTTGAGTATGCACATCTTTTGCATTAAAATGGTCCCGAACCCACTGGTCGAGAGTGAGTGATGCATTCCTTATGCTTTGTTCTAATCGTGTATCCTAGTGAGGACCTAGTTTGCTCGGTCTTTCGTTCCTATATAGGTTTTGGGTTAATATTGATGCATGTGACAAATACATGTTTGATTGATGAATTTATCAAAGTGTTGGATGGTTGTTCGTGAATTATTGTGTTTGGTTTCCTTTTCATAGCAATTGAGCTTTGGACCTAGGAGGCATATAATCCCCTTAAAGCCCACAATTAGCGTCTTCAGATCACTCCTATCGCATATTGTCCGGGGAATCCCCCGAGGGAGTTGATTCAATCGTTCTCCTAGAAATATATAAAACCCTAGGTTGAATAAAGAACCTATCCATCCATCACTTTGTCATTTCAGGTCAATCCCGAGTGAGTATATCTCTTAACAAGAGGATAATGAGTCAATCGAGCTAGGATAGTACTTAACATTGTTCCAATTGACTGAACTAGAGGGATTCAAACCTAAAGAGCTCCACCACCTTATAATTAGCTACGTTAGTTGGTTTACTCTTCTTAATCACTATCATAGGTTGGATAGATGATGAACCCTTAACTTGAAGTAAGGTAAGCTTAGATCCCCGTGGTACGATAAATTTTGTTACTTGCTCACCCTACACTACACCAGGTCTTCAGTTATGCTTGATCGTCGATTGGGATGTGTAGTTAGCAACCAGCCAGTTGAATAAAGAGTATTTCGAGAACAAGAGGACTCTTACCATCAAAGTCTTATCGAACAAAAGCCCTTTTTTATGGGAGATCAAGAACTTCCACGACGGAACCACACAGAGATCTCCTAAATCAATTGCACCCAACTCTATTGTATTGAGTAGATCTTCACGAGGAACACAGTTGCCCGTTAGCATAAAAGGAGACATTTCAAGATGACCTGAATCTTAATGATAGTTTATGTGTCGTAAGCTCAAAACACTTATAGGAATGAGCGAAACTGAAATAAGGAGTCAGAGCGAGAGCTTGCAGATATTCTCATGGCTTGGCTTACACTTTTCCACTAAAAGAAGGGAAACAAACAAAATTTAGCGACATGACAATTACCACGCAAAACTGTTTTATCCAGTTTACACACACTTACTGAAAGTAAAGTCTTGATATGGCGTTGCATTTTAATTTTCTAATAAAATTTTCCAAACATTTTTGCATTCGTCTTAAGTCAAAATTGATAAATTCACTCTTTTTTCCGAAGAAAAAAAGGTGAATAACATATCTTCATGGAAAAAAATGGCACACAATGGAAGATGAAAAAGTCTGAGTACCCAATAATCAAATTAATCAGCTTTTCACTCATATGTTGATGAAGAAATCTAGGGGAGTTTGAGAACATTTAAATCTCATAAAGTCAACTGATTATCCTTCAATCCCTCAACTACTTAGTCAAAAGAATTAGGTCCTAATATATGATAACACCCAAAATGGTGTAATTAGAGCTTATATTTATATTCATTTTGAGTTAATTCATAATTTTGAAGGTCTATATATTGTCAAATATACCCTGCATTCGTTCGCTGGAGAAAATATTAGTATTTTAGGGTGTATATTATATGATATATGAGAGTTTTAGGTACCAAAAGAGGGCACAAGTATAGAGAAATGTGCAAAAACAGAGGATCACGACTAGGGCATGCTTGATCACGGCCGGGAACTGAGAACGCAAATCTGGGAACTGAGATCGCGGCCTTAAGAGTCAAGATCATGGCCGCGAAGCCGGAGGCATCATGTGCGAACTCTTGGAGCAGATAACAAGGAAGAAACATAAAGTTTTGATAGTTGACTCACAACTTTCTTCATCCGAGCCCGTGAGAAAGATCGCGGCGCGACTTCATGAATCTGAAGAAACTAGAGATGAGGAAGAGCTTCCTTCCTTTTTGGCTCCTCTTTCTCCTTCCTTCAGCTTCTATTCCTAACTTCTCTCCCAAAATCAGAATTTCACATAGTGTTTTCAGCTCCTATGTAAAGGGAGAAGAGTCCCCTATTTATAGTGTTCTGGCGATCGCCAAGTTCACGGCTGAATGAGGGAAGTTTGCAAGCGCAATCTTTGGGGGCGAGGTTGCGATCTCGGATGTAGCATCTTCACGCCTTGCTGGATGGGAAGTTTGCGGCCTGACTTCAAGGTAGAGATCCGTGAGTCGTGACTGCAATCTTTCTCTCAGGCTTGGACGATGAGAGCCGCAAATCGATGGTAAAAACTCTTTGGTCCTTCTTTAGTGGCTACTTCAGAAATTCATGCTTGAGACTCCCAATTTCGGGGACGCGATCCCAACACTGGAGGCTGCAATCTTCATACTCAGTTTCGTGCCTTTGCTTCCCGGGCGTGATCTCTTTGCTATGTCGTGATCACTCATTTTTGCTCCTTTTACTACACTTGTGACCTCTTTTCGTACCTAAAACGTATGTATTATCTAATCCACCCTAATTAACATGACATAATATTCTTCGAGAAATGAATTACAGATGCATTTAATGAATTATCAATCAACGATACCATGAAATGACTTAAACGACCCTATATATTAAAGCTTAATAATACCATTTATGGGTGTACTTATCTGTAACCTCAAAGACTAGAGTTTTAAAAGGAGAGAAAGCGTATCTATAGAGACTATTTATCGGGCTCTTTTCTTCCCTGCTGTATTTTGAGAACTCTTTGATTTTTCACTAAGTATTCAGACTTGTTCCAACAATAAGACAGGAGTGGTTGGGCTTTTTTGAAGAAATGGCAACAAAATAATACGCAAACTGATATGCTCGTCTAACCCGACCCAACCCACATGTATTTATCGACAAAATTAATGTTTAAGGTTGGGTGACAGTTTTATTTTGTATAACTTGTCTCTATTGGGTTGGGTGCGGATTTTGGATAAGGGAACCCGTAGAACCCGGTCCAACCTGTGTTGAACTTTTATCATTAGTGTTCGTATCGAAAACATATTTGTGTCGTAAATAAACATATTTGTGAGAACATTAAGATATCTTGTCATATTTTTCTCTTGTGTTTTCCCTAGCCTAAAGTTATAATTCACGTAATCTTTTTTCTTGTGTACAATTTTAGAAGAACAATATATTATGAATGTGTTAGCTTATAACCACTTTAGATTATTTTGACAAAATATTTATGAAAAAACAAGACATATGTTCAAGTAAATTGTATTTCATTAAAATCCAAACAACATTTATGCTACTTTTTGCCTCGATTTATTTGCTTAAAATTTTAATTAGTTATATAATATTTTTGTAATATAGAATAGGTGGATTTTTTTGTGTTGGGTTGGGTTCTTAAGTAAAAGTATCTCCAACCTGACCCAACCCAATTATAAACATATCGTATGGTACTAATTTTATTGGGTGGGTATGGATTTAATATTTTCAAAACTATAGTGTATGTTTAGAGTGATTAAAATAGCCAAACTCGAACCATCCAACTCATGTACACCGATTTACCCATAAAAAGATGTACTTGAACGATAAATCTTATGAATGTTGTGATAAACTCATAAAAGCACAAAGGAGCTATGCTACACCGTACCGACTTAATCTTTTAACATACGGAACATTTATGATGAGCAAATAAACCAACATACAACTGATTTGTGATTGTGCGATTTCACAAATAGTGATCTCATCGTATGATGGTCAAAACAAAAAGAAAGATATAAATTTAGTATTTAAATCAAGTACTATGTAGCAAAAAAAAAAAAAAAAAAAAATAGTACAACCAGTAGCCACCACTAGCCAGTACCCCCCTATATTCCCAAAATTAAAGTGTAACCCAAATCCTGAAAAAGGATTAAAAAAAAAAGGTTAATAGCCGCGGGCCGGTTCGTGAGGAAAATTTGGATTGAAGGGTTTAAGCAAAGCAAGCAATTATTAAGCTTGTATCTCAAACCTAGTAGGGCACTTAATTGAGCCCATCGAAAGGTCAATCTCGATCAAGTTGTCCTCTTCGATCATCAAGCTCTGCTTGCAGAACGAGCTTGCAATCGCGAATTGACGGTGGTGGTCTTTGCAGCTTGATCGGATGACGAATTCCCCGCCGGGAAGCGCAATCTCGATCAAGCTCTCCTCGTCGGAGATGTATCCTCCATCCAAGAAATCCGGGCTCTGGAACATGTTCCCCTGAAACGGCCAGTAGTCCACCTCCGATTCCTCGCTCGTCGACGACAGCCTCCCTTTGCACTCGCCATCGGTCAGCTCTCTCCTCCTCGCTTCTTCCTCTTCCTCTTCCTCTTGCTTTGATTTTTCCTGCTGAATAGCTTCGGATTCTAGGGTTTCCTGAACTAGGGCTTTCACTATAATCGGGGTATGTTGTGGTGTGCCAAGTTTCAATCTGGGGAAAAGCAGGAGTGCTAGCGCAACGAGGAAGATGTGAGCTGAGAATCCATAGCCAAGGATGGTGGATAGGATCAGGGGAAGTGGAGAGAAGAAAGAGATAGTGCAAATGTGGGTTCTGCAGGAACTCATCTTCTCTTCAATTTTTTTCTAGGGCTGATCAAACTTGAAACGAAGAGTAGTAAGTTATGGCGTAATCTAAGCTACAGTGGTGGTGGGTGAGGATGGATAGAGATGGAAGACGAGATATTGAGATGTAGAGGTACTATTACGGGGAAGATGAGATCAGTAAGAATGCACAAGTACCGTCTCCTTAGTTCCCCCTTTTGGGGCAGACCCAGAGAAAAAGAAGGCAAGATAGATGTAGTAGCCTTAACTAGTTGAAGAAGAAGAAGAAGGAAATTGGAGGGGGTTTGATGAGCGGTGGTTTCTTTATGAGATTTTGGCTTTTGGATGAAGCTTGGGAAGTGTGAGTCTGTGAAATGGTGAGCAAAGTGATATCATAAACCCAGATTAATCAATATGAGATTAGCTGAGATGTCCTACAATTCCTTGTTGCTTGTTGTTTATGCATGGGATTGGACATTAAAAAAAAAAAAAAAGGAAACGTGGAAGGGGGATTTTCCTAGGAAACCCAAAACAGCTGGTATCTCTCTCTGCATTGGGTGACAGTAGCAAGTAGTGGGGTTTAAGGGGTGCATGGATATTTGGGAAGAAGCCATGTGCTGACATCTGAATTCACCACATGGCAACTGTTCCTTCTTGAATCAAACCAAAACTGGGATACAATGAGAAGAAAGTGAGAAACAATGAAGAAGACTCCAACTCCAAGCTTTTTTGTATATTATAAAGGGAAACACAGAAAGAGCAGGCAGTAGAAAGGGTAAGGGAAAAGTAGTTATACTGCCACAGGGAGTTCAGACTCCAACAATGAATTGTGTATAGTTGGCTGGCTAATAGGGGATTTGTTTAGGCTAATGAGATTGCAGTTCTACATCTAATCTCCTTTTTTTTGTTTTTTGTTTTGCAAGCCTAGTCCGGGAGAGAAAAAGCCAAGAAAGGGTCATGATGGATAGAATGTGTGGTGGGTATCAGAATCCATGATCATCCGCATTTTGTGCTAACAAAACCATATGAACATTGCTACTCTTATTATGCAGCTGAAAGCATTATGTATATTTGGAATGAAACTTCACTTGAGCAGCTTGGAACACTAAAGACTAAACCGCTTCCGGAAGAAGTGAATGTTGTATACAATTTAAGTCAGTGGAGTAGCAGCACCTCATCCTTTTACGACGTCTTTGGTTTCTTCTTCTCTGTGCCCATGGCGCAACCAGTACCAGTTGTAGGGAGTCTATTTGTAACAAGTGGTGTTAGTTTTCCCATCCAATATATCTAAAAGAAGAACAAGGTAGGGATATATTTCATTGTAGTAATGTAATTTATTTGGATATCCAATAATTCCAAGCTAGTTTGGGGATTCCGTCAGTAGTAAAGAAACGGAACCATGATCTCTGTTTGTGCGATGAGTTTTCAATTATCAATAGGTGTAACTTTTCATGGCTATGGCTAGCCTTTAGGGAGGTGATTAATTAATTACTTAGTTGGGTTGTGCGTCTAATGATGCGTTAAAGGCTGTTGTTATTAGGGATGGCAATGGGTAGGATTGGATCGGGTTTTGCCAAACCCAAATCAAAACTCATGGGTTTATCCATAAAAAAAATTCGGGGTAAAATCCATTGGGTTTGAAAAACTTAAACCCAACCCAACCCAATTCGCTGGGTATCCGCGGGTTGATGGGTACCCATCGGTTTTTGCGTAAAAAAATTACAATAACAAGTATCTATCAAAATAAAAGACAAATATCCATCTCTCAATACAAATTATTCATATATACAACACCATTCTATAAAATTCAAGCAAATCACAAAATAACCATAGAAATTGTTCAACACCAATCTAGAAAATTCAAAAAAATTGAAGTAAATCACAAATTATCCATAAACAACATGATTAATTGAAAACTTCTTCCTACTTGTCAATTAAACTTCTTCACTCTCCACTCGATAATATCAACTTCATTCTACACAATTAGAAAGAAAAAAAATAGACATGTCTCCACAAACATAAAAAAGATTAGTTGTTTAAAATATTAATTATACAGGAAAAATTAATTATATGGGTGTGAGCGGAAACCCATGGACGGGTTTACCTAAACCCAAACTCAACCCAACCCGGTGAATAGTGAACGGATTTAAACTCGAACTCGGCCTAAAATCCGTCAACACGGATTTTACCAGCATTGACCGAGTTGAGTCGAGTAGGATACTCATGGGTTCGGGTTTTGTTGCCGTAGTTGTTAATCAAATTGCTTAATGCAGAATGCTAGCTTTTGTTGGTTTTGTTGGGGGGCCAATGGCCAACATAATGGTATGGAATGGAAATGCATCTTTTCCTTCCTACCACTTAAACAAGGGCTCTCTTTGGAAACGCTGGTTCCCCACATTAATAATAATCCTCATCATAGCCTGTGTCTAATCAATTGGGTTGAGATGATGGCATATTTAAAGCCCAGAGCCATTAGCTTATATGATAGTGGCTCTGGCTGGGCGGTCACATGGGGCCAATTCATATTTGGGTTGGTTGGTCAGATTAACAGGATCGCAACTTCAACCCCTGCAGAACAGGATCGCAACTTAGGTAACCAGTTCGTGGAGCGAGAGCGGGAGCGCGAGAGCGTCTATTTTTCAAGAACTCAATATTGAGAGCGTGAAAAGAGCGTTAATATTATATTATTTTAATATACTTAAGGAAAAATAAACTTAATATTATTAGTGAAAACAAAAATTGTCAAAAGCAATTCCACTATACATGACTTGCGTTGCTTCATTTTAAAGCAATTATAATGTTCTATAACAACCCAAACATCTCAAAGCCTACTAGATATACAAAGATACTTCTTAATATGCTTGCTAATTGCTATACAAAAGAGTTGACCACTATGTGCAAGCAATACCCTTTGGTCAACTATTATAAACCTTTACTTTCTTATATCCTATGACAAGCCTACTAGATATACAAAGATAGTTCTTAATGTGATTGTTAATTGCTATACAAAAGAGTTGACCACTACATGCAAGCAATACCCTTTGGTCAACTGTTAAAAACCTTACAAATTAAACATGACATCACACATTTCTACTTCTTTTCGGTTCCCTTCCACTTTCTTGAGTAGCTTGAGGTGGAATGGGTACACTTGAAGTTGGAACAACCGAGTCTTCTTCATGACGCAAGGAAAAGTCTCTATCCTCGAGTTGTTGTGTGTCAAGGTCTATCATATCATCTTCCATATAAGAATCCCAATCCTTATAATTTTTCTCATAATCCTCCCTGTAACGTGTCAACAAACGGTTATTGTAGTGAGCATACACCAAAGATTCAGTACGATCAGCATTCAATCGATTCCTCTTCACACTGTGGATGAAACTATATGTGCTCCAAACTCTTTCAGCACAAGAAGTATTAACACTCTGCGATAACACCCGTACAGCCAAACTATATAACTCAGGAGCTGCTGCACCATGTAAGTTCCACCATTTGATAGCAGGCAATATTTCTCTATCGGATATCGCTTGTGGACGAGCAAATATACCTAAATCAATAGCATTATAGTTACACTATAATCCATAAAAATACATATAGCACAACTACACAAAGAAAAAAAAATCATTATAGCAAATTATGTTATCCGCGTCATGTACCAATAGGACTAGGTTTTTATGGAATCATGTGAAGAGGGGAGGAACTGATTAAACAAGGGAAATTAACACATGCATACACAACTAGCTCACCAGTACCCAAAATCCACAACCATTGGATTTTGTACTTAATTAATTGCAACAAAACTAAATCCCCCAATTCCCATCTGTTTATTTAGCCTCTCCCCTCTCATATATTTCAATCTGTACTCTTTGTAGAAAGAGTTTTTTGTTTCAACTTTATTAACCCATACTTCATTAACCCACACGCATATGTAAGTATCATTTGTTTAGTATATGCACCCACTGTAACCAGTATCACACTTAAAAGAATACAAATAATGTTAGCTATCTTAAGTAGTTTCTCATAGATAAACATAAATGGGTCTTGGTTGCGGATAAATTAATTTGATGAGAATAGATACCTGTGTTGCAAACAAAGTCGCTAAGTTGAACTCGAGCTCTAGTTGCCTCAACCGAATTCCCAACTATACGATCAACCACATCAAGATATATCTTCTGAATTTCAGGATCAGCATGAGGCTTGATTCTCTTCTCTCCTTTTGGACTAGAACTCATCAACCATTTGTTAGAATAATAGAAAGGAGTAAGCACATAAGCCAACAAATGCAAAGGGACATTCATCTTTCTCCATCTCTCCATGACAAGAGCTTCAATGATATCCTTCAATTCCATATGGTCTACCAAAGCAAGTTGAATACAGCTCAACATGTCTTCCATTCTTTGATAAACTTCACCGATAATAGCTTTGTCAGAATTACAGAAGAGAATCATTTTCCAAATGGGTCTTGTGAAACTAAGAACAAATTTCAGCTTCTCCCAAAAGTCACCATCTAAAATAGCATTCTTCACTTCTTCATGACTTAAATTTGAAGAGGTTGTACCATGCTTTAAAACTTCCCACTCATCACTTAATACCATTGAAATCAAGTGATTTTTCAACTTGGCTAAACGTTCTAACATAACATAATGATGACCGAATCTTGTCTTCTTAACGTGAATCACCTCGAGAGCAGAAAACTTTCTGAAAATATGCAACACCATGCTGTGGCTTCTTATGTACTTCACTATCCCTTTGACTTTCTTATAAAGAAATCCCACAAACCTCAAAGAAGGATAATGAGAAGATGCCACATCTTTCATCAAAAGGCTTAAGGTGTGAGCTAAACAACCTGACCAGAAAATATGAGGATGTCTTTCCATGATGATTTCTCCCGCACGTTTGCAAGCTGAAGCGTTATCTGTGAGCACTTGTACAACATTATAGATTCCAACTTGCTCAATAGCTTTGAGCAAAATTCCAGCAATGTAAAGTCCCGTTTTTTCATCACCAGAACAATCAACGCCTTCAAGAAATACAGCTCTACCCCCTGAAACAACCAATACATTTATCAAAGGCTCATTCTTCACATTACTCCAACCATCAGATACAATAGAAACACCAAATAAAGGCCATTGATCTCGAATGCCCGTTAAAGCACGATCCACTTTGGATTTCTCTTTATCAAGCAAGCTGGTTCTTATCTTTTCAGCACTTGGAGGCTTATAACCTCTCGGTCCTTCATTTATGCCTCTCACCATTTCATAGAAAAATGGAGACCTTGCCACATTGAAAGGAATCCCATAACCATAGAAGAATCTTCCAACTAAACCATCAGTGTCATGCCTTGATACCAAATCAAACATATCAGTAATGATTTTGGAATCATTTTTTGTGACACCAATCTTGCTTATTGGAGGCACAATTTGAACTTCAGCACCTGAACCCTTCCGTGTGAATACTCTTTTTGCTTCTTCTTCTTCTTGCCTCATCTTTTCTTGATCACTTTCTGTTACTTTGGAACACAATGCTATACCAGCCGCTTTCATTCCCGGACTCCTACCAAGAAAATGAGCTCGAATACGCGAGTAGGTTCCAGTATATGGATCAGCTCTACATCCAAGCTTACAAACCCACTTGTTGTTTTTCTTTTCCCCAAACATAACCACATATTTTTTAAGTGGAGTAGCTGTAAGCTGTGTTTGTACAACATCTTCCCCATCACTGATATCTGTTGGTATGGGGATCGAATCAACTTCTGTCATCATAAACACCTTGTAAACAAATACCAACGAAATTAGACCTGTATTGTAGATGTTTAAAAATTCCTACCAAAACATTTTTCTACTGATTGAGAAAGAAACAAAGGTAAGAATACCAACCTGATTGTAGATCACCCTCAAGCGGCCTGTGAAAATCCAAAGCCTAAGCTCATCAGCAACGCTCCTAATCTCTTCCCTCGTCAGAAAGTGGATTGTGCTTCTTGTTTTACAAACTCTCTTTTCACTGATGTTCTTTGTAAAGCTTTTTTTTCTTTTGCTCGTGAAGGAGTTCTTTGTAAAGCTAAGGAGAGAGATAGATAGAGTAGTTAGTCTTTTGAGTTCTTTTTTCACTATTTTTTAATTATTTTCATCTAACCGTGGGTGTAGGATAGAATGAGGCAATGTTATCCACACAAAAAGAATTGATCTTAATTTTTTAGTTTAGATTTTAGATAAGCTTCTTATGGAAGTTGTCTGTTTATTATTATTTTAATTACAATTGTAAGAAGGTAAGTATTATGTATTATTTAACTAGCTTATTACCCGGCCCGTTGGCCGGATTACTATATGTTACCCACTTGTGGAATGTGAGAGAAAGCAAGTGAGAGTGAAGGGATTGAGATTCCACTTGATTAGGACCGGCCCACTAATCCGATTCTTCCCGCCCCGCCCCAACCTAAAGGGTCAGAAAGAGCCAATAAGAAAATACGAACGGAGAGAATTAGTAATATATCTTGACTCTTCAGAAGTGGGTCAAACAGGATAAAGGTTGGGTGAGGGCAATTTTTAGCGCTAAGCAGAGTTCTGGGTTGAATAACTTTACTTAGGCCTAGAAATTGGTGCTGATGCAGACTGCAGTTTTTATCATACCATCATCAATCATCATTGAATTAGTCCTGGGCATCCCTCCCCGTTGTCGGTCTGAATTTTAATGATGGCTTCATTCCTTGCACCAGCCATATCAGCGAGTTGTCATCTCGAGCATGATTTGCCTATGTACAAATGATACAATTAGAGTATGAAACTGAATTCAAAGAAAAGGAAAAGAGAATTCTATCACATGCCAATAAATACACACATAATAGTTGAAGCTAAGTGAAAGTCATTACTCGCACATCAATTCTCAAAAATTACAGACTAAACAATGGCTAGAATGGCACTGAAACTACCAAGAATCATGGACGAAACAACTTGTCAAATTAAATAATCCTTATACTGAAACTACCTTCTAACTTGAAATAAGACATGATCACAGTTCATAGCACTCTTATCACTATGAATTGGTTGCAGCTCGTCCTTATCACTACCTCCCAAGCTCAATTCAAACAGAATAGACACAGTTATGTAAGATAACCATATCCTTACTGATCATAATTCCTTTCTTCACTCCATTTTTGTCGGAGAAAAGAGTTATCCCCCTCTCATGCATTTCCCTTTCCCCCTCTTTTCTCCCTCTTCTTCACAAACCGATCCCTAAACCAGCAACAACAACACAAAATAGCCTTCGCCTCTGCCATCTCCATCTACTGAACGCGTTGGTGGCAAGACAGGATTGCAGAAGCAAAATTTTCTAAAATCAAACTAAATTTTTTGAAGGAGACTCAACCACGAAAAAAGAGTAAAGCAACAATGCTAATAGTTCAGATGGTTGGTTTTGATGTTATACGTTGCTTTTGTTATGGTCTCCAGTGTATCAACTGCAACAGAGATGTTTCCTCCAATCATCTTTAGTGCACGATTTAGAAGTAAGTCCTCTTGTTTGTGTCAAACGGAAACATTCATGGGTTCTTAACTCCCCTGTTAATGTAAATGCATCAGTAGCAAAGAAGTTTGACAACACAGCAAGCACCCAGGCAAAATGATACAATGCAGTAGGTGATATGTGTCTCAAAGGTTTTGAGTTACTAAGGCCCCGTTTAGTATTGTTATATGTTTTTGTTTTCTGTTGTGTTTTTCAAGATTGGAGAAACCAAGAAAAAAAAACATGTTTAGTTGGGTTTCTATTTTTTGTTGTGAATCGGATTTGCACAATAGGGTCCAAATTTGAGAAACAACAATTTATTGCTTTGGATTTTATTCTTATACATGTTTTACACGGGATTTCCGTTTGTTTTCATTAAAACAACCCTCAATTCGAATCCCACCTAAAGCAAAAAATTTCTCTTTTTTTTTTTTAACTCCCAAACCCACCTCCAAACCCTAGTCGGCCAACCCTACCCTCGTTTTCTCCCAAACCCGCCACCCAACAGCTCCCTCCCTCTCTCAACTTCTTCCTCTTGAGACCCAGGCCACCGATATCGTCCATCTCCCCCTCGTCGTCGATTTCGTCCCTTTGCCCCCGCCGCCTCCTTTTCCCCTGTCGCCCGACCTCGCAACCCTTGCCGCCTCCTCCTCTCGATTCCCGTCGCCGACTTCGAATCCTTTCCCCCGCCGCCGCCTCCTCTCTTTTCTTGTTTTTAATTCTAATAGTAGTAATTGAACGCGTTTTTGTTTCTTGTTCTCTGCTTTCATTATTTTTTAGATTATCAACTAAACAGGTTTGTGTTTTCTATTTTTTTCCTGTTGTGGTTGTACATCTGTTTACACAACCACTGCAACCACAACAGCAACAAATCGATACTAAACAGGGCCTAAAGCTCATGTTAAAAATAAACATGAATTAAAATGGATTATTCTATTAAGCAAACATCCCCTCTAATCATACAAAGATCAGATATCTAATTCACAAACAATTAAGCCATAAAAAATCATCACACATCCACCACCTTTGATTGCCTATATTTGGTTTTTCGCAAAGTTGTGGACTCTTAAGGGTAAAGTTCATGGGTAGTCTGTTTCATAACTCTAGAGAGCACAGTAAGCAGCCACCAACCAGACACAGTGCGGTAGGCGAATATGATTCTCAATTCACAATTTCTCACCACCGGAAGTAAGAACAGAACATAATAAGCGTAGCGTTCATGGGTGGTCTGTTTCATAGCACTACTACATAATTTGTTAAAAAAGAAAGAAAGGTATTTAGCATCACGGCGGAACAACTTTTACAGGCCAACAACGACAACATGCTGCAACCACCAGAACTGGTATCACAACTCATAGGGAAAGTCAAAAGATTTACTCTTAAATTAAGTAGTTACAACATTGAGCAATCGTCAAGCACATACACCATCACAAAAGTCACAGAACCTGATTCACAAAGCATTCAAACATTTGAGGACATTTCTGCAAAGATACAACTTATATGTCTTTTTTCCAAGCCATTTCCATCAACATGCTAATAAATTTGCAATGCATAAAACAAATGGGCCAAAACTTGAAATTCAACCTGTTTGACCGACCCATGCCAAATTCTAATTATTCTTTACTTTTAAACTTTCTATTTGAAAATAAAAAAATAGTGAAAGAAAAAAGACGACTACAATTCGCCATTTGCACATCACTTATTCGGGAATAAAACCATATAAATTCAAAAGGAACTGAAAAGGTTGAGGATCGTTTTAATGTTTAAAATAACCAAATATATTTTTATATTTAGTTTTTTACTAACAAATACCAAACGATTCCCTATAAAATACACTATAATTTGATCATTATGATGTCAAATAATTATAAAATATATATTTGAAATGATAAAAATTGGACTAATTGGGTTGGTCGAGGTTGAACCATTGAATAACTTTAAAATACATTATATTTTAGCCACTAAGATATAAAATAATAGCATAATATATATTATGCCAGAGAAAATAGCTTGTTTTAGAATGGCAAACCCATGATGTTCATTTGTTTTGATGACCAAATCCCATGTAGGTCAGGCCCATTCAACTCTTTTATTTTATGGTTAGCGGTTAGCCCATTAGATACCATGCATTAGTCTATTGTTACATTTTTAAACTTGTTATAGCTTAATGTGATGTAACCTAAGGCAAATCACTTTCATAGTTTGTATTTACATGTCAAGTGCTTTGAAAGTAGAAGTAACTTCTCCAACTTTTAAATTCTTAGTTTTAAAGATTCTCCTAGTTATATATTAATCATTGCATTTAACCATATAACTTTCATAATTTGTGTTTATAAGTCATGTGACTTCAAAATAAATCAAGTAACTTCTTCTAAATTCTTTCTTCTCATAATCCTTTTATTTGTATATTAATTACTTCATTTTTTCAACAATAATACCGATGAACATTCATTTCCCAGCTATAAACATACAGAGAAACAAACTAAACAATAACATGCATGATTAATTTTTGCTCATAGTTTTTTTTGTTATACGCTAAAATAGCCCCCTCCCCCTCCCTCTCCGATTGTCAAATCCTGGCTTCGTCCCTGTAATACATCTTTAACAGATGTTCACCTATCAATGTGGCGATTTCTCTTGAGACTTCTCATATAGCTTTTAAAGCTATTGATTTCCAACAATTCCCTACTTGACTAGTTTTGAAATTATCTATGAGCATCAATAGTCGTATAATTGCCATAAACTAAGGTATCTTTCGATTTTAACCTTATTGTAGTGGTTATAGTTCTGATTCAACAAGAGTGATTCGTAGTCTTGAACTCTATCTCATATAGGTAGCATGCCAGATCTTTTCATTGAGTGTTATTCTCTAACAGCTCGTGCGTTTATGGCCCTGCATCTGCATGTTATCTCAGTTTTAGTGGATATGCTATAGAAAAACAAATAGGCCTCATGGTTTGAATACTCATTATATTGTGGAATGAAAATAACGCAATCGACTTCCATTAAATAAAGAAATAATAGGGGTAGTATCCTGCTTGCTATTAGAAATGATGGAACTAGTGAGGGTGATAAGCTTTAGTTTGAACTCAGGAAGCAAATGAACCATAAATCGCTAAAGGTTTTTGGTTACAAGTTTTCTATCTACACCCTAGAAATGATCATACTGCAAGAAGTTTGAACTTCCATAAGATGCAGATTTGTGGGAACAAACCCTTATTAACGAAATGGAATCATTGGAGTCTAATAATATTTAAAATCTTGTAGAGTTACCTCTTGACTGTAAAGTCTTAGGTAATATGATATAACCCGAATTCCAGAATCCTCTCAAACGTGGACCAAAAACCAGAATTGCACAACGTCAAACTCTTTAGAGTTTTCTCATTTTCTTGAACAACACGAAATTGAAAGATAATATGCGGAAATCGATAAACATATCTGAACTTGTGAGAAGGGCCAATTGATATATGAAACCAATCAAACAATCTCAAACTCGTGACTAAGGCCAACCGATATCGTCGAACTCGCCCCAACTAGATGTGATCTTCTAGTTGATAAGAGATACTCAAACCTACCAAATCCTCAAAGGAGAATTTAAGCAAACACGTTCTCAAAGGAACTCGAACAAACTCACTTGTATTTGATTGAATGAAACTTGAATGAAAAATACAATGGTTCAGTTCCCTTTTTATAGACATACAAATCCACATCTAAAACAACTAAGAAAAAACAAAACCTGTTTGAAAAAAGAAAACAAAAACCTTAAGAAACCAGTAAAAGACTTAGTCAAACTTCCTCCTAGAATCTAGCCTTGAAATGCTCCTTCCCTCTTGTGTTCACACCTGGATTCCTTTCCCATTTGATATCCCATTCACACTAAAGGAACCCTTCATGGCCGATTCTCCCTTCCTTCCCTTCAAGCCCATTTTGTCCTCCTCTTGGTCCACAAAGCTCAATAGTGTAATGGGCTTTCCTTCTAGCAAATCCATGCTCATGCTTCCAACTCCTTAGCCAAATAACTATGATTTGATCTCGAAAAGCTTTAGCTCTAGCACGAGTCATTGGTGCTTCATCTTGAGTAGGCTTGGTCTTGATGACCTCATCACTCCCTCCCTCTTGGAAAGGATTTGCCCTCAAATTCGAGTTATCCTCTAGGAATGGTGCGAGATCGGAAACGTTGAAGGTTGCACTTATGTCATACTCTCCGGGTAGTTCAAGCTTGTGTGCATTAGTACCAACCTTCAAAATGATTTGAAAGAGACCTTCGCTCCTACGCAACAACTTTGATCTCCTTTGATGTGGGAACCTTTCTTTCCTCATATGCACTCACACCCAATCTCCTGCTTAGAAATTTTGAGCCTTTCTATGCTTGCCGACGTTCTTCAAAATCTGCTATGTCTTCTTTTCAATATTCAGTCGAGCCTTCTCATGGAGATTCTTCACATACTTTGCTTTCTAGCTCCATCCATGTTCACTTGCTCCTTCAAACGTAAATGTGCCAAATCAAATGGACTAAGAGGATTGTACCCATGTACGACCTCAAAAGGAGAATACTTCATTGTTGAATGCACGACTCTATTATAGGAAAAGTCCACGTGAGGTAGGCAGTCCTCCCATGTCTTGATGTTGCTCTTGATGACTGCTAGTAGCATTTGAGACAAAGTACGATTCACCACTTTAGTTTGTCCATCCGTTTGAGGATGAAAAGTAGTCGAAAACAAGAGCTTTGTTCCAAACTTGCTCCACAACGTCTTCCAAAAGTAGCTCAAGAACTTTGAATCACAATCAGAAACAATGGTGTGTCATCCCATGTAGTCACACCACCTATTTTAAGAACAAATCCGCCACATTGAAAGCATCGTCAGCCTTATGGCATGTAATGAAATGTGCCATCTTTGAAAATCGATACACCACCACAAAGATAGAATATCGACCTCTCCTCGTCCTTGAAAATCCCAACATGAAGTCCATAGAGATGTCAACCCACAACAATAATGGAATGGTTAGTGGAGTGTTCAATCCAGACGATTGCACCTTCGATTTAGCTTGTTTGCACTTCATGCATCTAGCACACAAGCTCTCCACATCGTTTTTCATATGAGGCCAATAGAAGTGCTCTTGTAAGCAACTCACTGTTTTGGCTACACCAAAGTGTGCCATCAATCCTCCTCCATGGGCTTCTCATAGTAGAAACTCTCGAAGTGAAGTAAGTGGTATTCAAAGTTGATTACCACGAAACAAGTAGCCTTCATGCTAATAGTTCTTCCCTTCTCCATGCTTCTCACATAGCTTGTAAATCACACCACTCGGTTGAAGCCGTCAAATACGAACACTGGACACGTGTCGCCATCCAAATGGATCTTCACTTCCCCTAGATCCATGTATAAGATGAGCTTCCGGAGGGCGAGATCTTCGCTGCCGACTCCACCGTCACCCACGACTCCTCCACCTCTTTCCCCATCCCCCACGTCATCAGATTTGTGCCGTGATGGTAATAACAACTATTATTATTATTATCCTCCTCTACAGAAGCGGCCATGGTGAGATCCAGGTTGCAGTGGCTTGGTGGCAACGACGAGAGCACGCTCCGATCTATAGATGCTTCTTCCTCATGTAGATGGGTGCTCTCCGCGAGGAGCTGGAGGGTGACGATGCGGTTTGAGGATTTGGGATCCGTCGATGACGATGATGAGGTCATGTCCTTTTTCTTGATGGATCTATTGCTCTTTCGAACCCTAACGTACTTGCGCTTCTTCCTGGGCTTGTAGTTGTTTGCTATGGTGGAAACGGAGGGATCCGGGTTGGCGGGTTTGGGTGCGATGGGGCAGAACCAAAGCATAATCTGGTTGGTTATCGTCGGCTCGAGTCTTGCACCGATCCGAAGCCGCCGTTGTTGGTTGACCAGCTGATCATGTGCCAGCTGGCTGGTTATCCGCTGTCGTTCATCTCCGATCTTGTTTTTTCTCTCTGTCTATGGCGTTTTTCTCCGGTGGATGTGGGGTTTTAGGAAAGATGTGGAGGTGGGTACTGGGTAGTGGAGGCAATAATCATGGGAAAGAGAGAGTAAGGGGGCAAAAAAGGGATCAACACGTATCCTAGGGCAAAAAACAACGATTAATAACATGTAGCATATGGGGGCTAAGATTAGGTGACTAAGGGGGGTTTCCTTAGTCATATGACTAAGTGCATTTCAGGCTTCAGCCATCCAGCCTCATTTAAATCTAATGGCTTTAAATAATCTAATTTAATGAAGGATAGAGTAGCAATTTCATATTTTATTTATTTAACAATTAAAAAATAATTCTCCCTCTCGCATTCCTCCACCTTCCGTCGGGCCGTCACCAATTCCTCCCGCATTCCTCAGTCGGCCGCCGGCCAGGTTTTTTGGCTGGCGTCGCTTCCTCCATGGGCCTCGGAAAAATTCCCAAAGAGTGGCCTGTGAATTTTTGTTTGTTCCCCATATTCCTCGGATGGAGAGAGAGAAAGAGAGAGTTCGTCATCGGTGGCGGAGACGATTTCTGCCGATGGGGAATTTTCCAACGACAACTTCTGTTCTGTTATGTTTATCGGACGATTTTGTAATGTTTGTAAGTATGTTTTGTGATTTTGTATCAATTTGGTTTGTATCATTTATCATTCTAGTTTGTCATTTTTATCTATTATGTTTGTAATGTTTATATGACTAATTTGTATACATTGTAATTTGTAATGTTTGTTTGTCTAGCTTGTATACTTTTATGTTGTGATTTGTATACTTTGTATTCTTTGTTTTGTAATACAAGTTTACTGTTTCTATTGTAAGTAGTGGCATTTTGTATTGTTAGTATGTTTGGTAATGTTTGTCGGTCTAGTTTGTATTGTTTGTATAGTTCGTATGTTCCGTATTGTTTGTCACTTTAATTTGTATTATTCGCATGTTTGTATGATTTGTATGGTTTGTAAGTCCGGTTTGTATACTTCGTAATTTTCTATAATACCCAAACTACCCCTGTCATTAATTAAAAAGTCCTTCCCACTTTTTAACCGTCAGATTGGTGTGTCTAGATCTAAGGGTTGAGAGGGGCTTAGTCAAGTGACTAAGCACCCCTGGTCACCAGATCCTTCCTCCAGCATATGGTGTGGGCTCTGATTGGCCAGGGTTTCCCCGTGCTGCGTTGTCCTCAACCCGACCCGTCTCTCAGTCACTCTTGTCAAAGGTAAATTCATTGGTCTCACTTTCATTTCAGCTCAACAAAATAAGGCAGAAAAAGTAACAAAATCAAGAACAGCAGATGATATATATGGTATGGTCGATCAACGAGTTCCTATGTGTGTTCTTTTGCGGTAAGATGCTTTCTTGCAGTCATTCTGTCAGAGGGATGCAGATCCTATCAATAACCTTGTGGTGCAATAACTCCATGCATAACCTAATCAGAATCCTCCACATTAGTGCCCCCTTCTCTCTCTTGGAAAAACCTTTAATTTTCCTTCCCTTAATCTTTAACGGACAGATTAATTGTGCTCTTCAAAATGATATCCACTTTGATATTTTTTGGAACAAAAAAATTTGAGTAAGTTATTACCAGTCTATACCATATTGTATTGACTAGTATTAAATAAGAGCATACCATGTGGTATGAAAAATACCACCCCATACCAGGGTGGTATAATATGGTATGGAGTTGGTAACGAGAGGTATGAAATTTTTTCACCCAAAATTTTTTGAAATCCAATAGATCATGATTAAATCGTTCCTTTTGTGCAAAAATTTTCGAAAATGACTAAAAAACGAAGGAGATACATATGGTATGGAGTTGGTAACGAGAGGTATGAATTTTTTTTCTAAAAAAATATTGAAAATGGATATCATTTTGTACAGCACAACGAACTCGTTCCATCTGTGAAATTTTTTTGAAATCCGAGTTAGAATAAAGAAGATATGATCCAATTAAGAAAACTAGGCAAAATAAATTCTTTATTCTCCACCCTTAGATTTGCAGTCACTTAAAAGAAGGGTTCAGATTTGGTTACTCATAATTATGCACCCTTAGGTTATGCACCCTATCTTAAATCATATCGAAGATATATGGGGTTTGGTTCGAATCTCTAGTCTTGATTTGTGGGGGTCGGATAGTATGCCTACCCTTAAAAGGGTTGGCTTTTTGACACCCCCTTTATGATTGGCCAATTTTATTTCCAATCATTGGCAAGTATTAATTAAACTGGTTTTTTATTTTTTTTTAATCTTGTAATTTGGGTTCTCTCACCCACATTGGAAAGGGAAAGAATTTGGGGAATCAGAAAAAAGCATCCCCCAAATGTGCAATTAATTGCCATTTTTTTTTCTTCCTTTCGTCTCCTTCTCTCTCCATTTGGGCCCCCTTTCCATTTTGATTTCATTTTAATAAGAACCCTCCTCTACTCTGAAACGACCAAAACCCTCCCCCCTTTTCATCTTCCTCTTCCTCCCGCAACTGCCACCGCCATCACCCCTCTCCGCCCTCTTCATCCAAGCCTTCCACATGTGTTGCCTCCATCCCTCCAACCGTCGTACTCCTCTAGCGCCTTCCCCCACCACCATCCTCCTATCTCCAGCCGCCGCCATCCTGGGATCGCCTCTGACCTACCTGGTGGATTGCTCGCACCAGTGGAGTGGTATGTGTACCAGTGGAGTGGTACGTGTACTAGTGGAGTGGTACGTGTAAATCGACTTCATCACTTCACGCGGCCCGAAATCATTAACGTCGAGCATATGGAAGATGGTGGCGTTGTCGTAAAAGTGGAGCCCATTAGAGACGCCGAGGAACACCAAAACAATCTCAGTAAGGATCTGTATTCATGTCTCGTCGACTTCTCCCGCCCGACATTATACCAGTGCACTGGTATTTTGTATCATTGAAGTGATACAATGCCACTGCAATGGTATTTTTCCCCTGAAAAGGTCCATACGGACACCACTGGTTATTGAAGCTGCGTAAACAACCTAGTTGCTTTGCATTAGGTGTTGTCAATACGGTCGTAAACTAGTATATTTGTTTGAATGAACATATATCAGTGACATGACAAGAGTAACAGTGCTTACCCTTAATGTTGTGTTTTTATGTACCAGTCTAGTGATACATTGTTCCGGGACCAATATTGAAGTTTGTAAACTTGTTTTAAAATTGTTGAGGGACAAATTTCTAGATGAAATATCGATGTTCAAACGTTACCATTGCAACATTAGATATAATGTACTTGTACCACTGAATTTATACATATACCACTGAACTGATACATGTATCACTAAAATGATACATGTACCACAGAGAGTATGACCTGAGGGAATTTACTGGTATTTGTATCATTGAAGTGGTACTGCATTGTTGCTCCGTTATTGTTTATCATTGTTATGAAAAATATCATTGCACTGGTATTGTTCTCACTCCAACTCGTATTTGCCACTTCTAATGTACCACTTCATTTGTATTTTGTATGAGAGAAATACACTACACGCCACTAAACTATAAGAATTGGGGGAAGGATACTACTAATGTGAAAATAGAGCACCAAATACCATTAAAGTTCCCAAAATATGCATCCATTAAATTCTTCATCAATTTGATTAACCAAATGAATACAATATATTTTTCCACCTCAAGCCTCTTTAAATTTCGTTGAAACTCGACATTAAGAGTTGTTGGACCATAAATATCTTCATTGTCATTGCTCCATTTTGCAAGCTCCCTAATCGCTCTCGCTTGTAGTCCGGAACGTGCTCTACTCCCTGCTCCGTGCGATTTGTCTTTCCTAGCGTGCATCCGACGCCGCTCCACAACTTCTCGAGGAACTCACTGCTCTGACTAAAATCAAAGAAGGTAAAATCAAAAGTCAAACCAATAAATATAACTACTGATAGATGAGATCAACAATAAGACTTTCACTGCAGATATATCAATCCATTGATAGCTCTATCCTAGAAAGCCATTCTAAACATAACTACTACGGTAGTTGTACTTTAAACAACCATAATGATTTTGTTTCTACCACTACAGTGATAGCACTACCCACAAAAACATCACAATGAACTACCACTGCAGCTATAGATCTACCACTGCAGTGATAGATCAACAACTGCAGTGATAGATCTACCACTAAAGTGATAGACACAATATGCCACAAAAACATTCACATGGTTAACTATATCAATGTGTTGATAGACTACAGTCAAATAAACAACACTACATTATCCAAGAATCAACTATCACTGGAGTGGTATACTTCCGTACCAGAATCAACAATTTATACCACTCCAGTGATAGACATACCACTGGAATAACATTCAACAAAAACTCAAACACTACAATTATCATTGTAGTGGTAACATTACCACAAGAAAAAAAACACATCTTAGTGAGTATGAGATAGAAAAACTAGACTGATAAGGAATAGTTAAAAAATCACAAATCTAGAAAAATCCAGGATTATGATAAACTACCAGTACACTGGTACCAATATCAGTACTCACAAATGAGTATAATCATAAACTACCAGTTCACTGGTATCAATACCAGTTCTACACCAAAAACCCAGATCTGGGTATGGGAGAGAGAGATAGTGGGACGGAGAGAGTTACCTCAGATTCTTCGTCGTCGTCGTCGCCGGGAAGGGAAGGATGGCCAGTGTAGGAAGGGGAGACGGGTCGTCATCTTTGTCGGGAAGGTGAGGATGATCATTGTCTTCTCCGTCGATCCCTTCACAGTGCCAAGCTTGTGGAAGGAGATGGAGAGTTACGACAAGCTTGGCGTTGCTCGGAGAACAGCGACAGTCACGATCTAAGACATAGCCACGATGGAGGATGCGGGACAGAGCCGGAGGTAGATATGGACTGTGACGGTGAAGAAGCAACGACGGCGAGCAGGGGAAGAGGGAATCGAGGGAGAGAGGAGGAAACGAAAGGGAGAGAAAAAAAGGGGAGAAGAAAAGGGTTTCGAATTGGGGGTGATAATCGTTTTTCCCCATATTCTTTCTCTTCTCCAATGTGGTGAGAGAAATTAATTATGTAATTAATGTATAAAAAACAGGTGATTAATACTTACCATTGGATTAGATGGATGGTATCTAAGAGGGGTGTTAAAAATCAAACCCCCTTGAAAGGGTAGTCACGCTAACCGCTCCCTGATTTGTGTCGTATCGTATCGTTTCAAATCACATGGCACAATAGGTCTTCTTAATTGCTAAGATTCCTTTCTATAATGTCAAGTCTAGAGGTGAATCATGTAGGTACCGTAAAAAGAAAACCAGAGTTTCATGATCTAGCAAACATTCTCTTCCGGTGCTCTCTTGTTCTCTTCATCTACCCAAAGAACATTCTGAATCTCTGTCAATATAACTTTGGGAATGTCGTGTTTTCTATGTGTCATAAAGGGGGGGTTTTCTTTTACCTCCATTGTAATCGAATTGAGATTCTTGGATCTTTGTTGTATGAACTGAAAAAGTTGACATAAAATTACTACGAGAATGAAAAAATTGACGTAATTCTAGGTTCAAATTTATAGCAACAAAAAATTCATATAAATAAAAAAGTGGAATTCAACGAGTAGCAATATCCAATCCGTTTACTCCAAGCTGGGAGGAAGAGGAAAAAGTGGAAGATGATCAACATCACAAAATTAATGAGCCAACTTAATATTTTGGCATTATAACCGCAAAGAGAATTTTTTTAATTTTAAAATTAATAAAAAATTTACTATTTTTTAAATGCCACATCATCAAACTAACGGTCAAAGGGTTTAGTTGACTGTCACGTAGGATGATTTTAGCGGAATCGGATGGCCGGTGGCTGTGATGAAACTATTCGTAAAGTTGGTGACAAATAAGAAAGAAAAATAATTCAAGTGACATTTTTGAAAAATTCGTATAATTTGAGTGACCAAAGTCCAAACGTGTAATTTAGCCGTTTGGCTTTATAAACTGCCGGTATTTATTCTTGATCAGCTAGTTCAGGATGATGTAACCACTCTTAATGATTAATAAAGTTGATACAGATAAAAAAAGAAAAAAAAAAGAACATTCTCTGGCTCCCCAAGAAGAATCAACCGTAATGAAAAGAGTGTGGCAGAGCTCTAAAAAGTCCCTCAAGTAGTTTAATTAAACATCACACCCCCGTTTGAACTTTGATATGTTTGAATAGGGCTAAATTACACGTTTGGTCACTCGAAGTATATAAATTTTTCACGTTTGCCAGCCAAATTACTTTTCTTTCTTATTCACCACTAATTTTACGAATCGTTTCACCGTTAGTCACCGGCCGTTACACTCCGTTAAATTTGTCCTACGTGGCTGTCAACTATAAAGTTTGACCGTCAACTAGATGACGTGGAAATTTAAATTTTTTATTTATTTATTTGTCTACCTCATCATTTTACTTACTTTGTGTATATGATTTATCATATTATTTATTTAATAAAAATTAATTAAATTATAAAAATAAATAATATGATTGATTTATTCTTCGCCTTCAGAACTTGAATTACGAAAATAAATAATATGATTAATTTATTAAATTACAGAAATATAAATAAATAATATGATTAATTTATTATGAAAAAACAGAGAGTCATGGCGCCTCCGTCTCCTTTCTTCTCCAACTTCCTCTTGCTCCTCCTCTTTGCCCCTTCCTTCGCAGGTAATTTATAGCAATCCCGCTACCTCAAATTCCCTTTTCGGAAATTTCTTTTTCAACCGTTTCTGATGTACATTTTTTTGGGCAAATTGGGGCTCGATCGGGGTCAACTACGGCAATATCGCCAACAACCTCCCGTCGGCAGTGAAAGTCGTGCAGCTGCTGAAATCCCAAGGTTTAAGTCGTGTGAAAGTTTTCGATGCCAACCAGATCGTGCTCTGATGCTGGATTCGGAATTACGGTCGTCGTCGATTTGCATGCTCTCCTCCGCCGAGAAGAAGCCATCCTTCGCAGCCGCGTGGGTGCAGAAAAACGACGGCGCTTACCATCCGTGAACCGAGATCCAACCTCCATTTCGCCATCAAGGTCTCTTCCCCAATCGCTCTCAACACGCTCCAGAACTCTTACCCGTCGCCGGCGAGTTCGTTCCGACAGGAGCTTCTCGAGCCAGTTTTCCGCCCAATGCTGGAGTTCCTCCGCGAGACCGGCTCGTATCTGAAGGTGAACGCTTACCCGTTCTTTGCTTACGAATTGAACTCCGACGTCATCTAGCTGCACTACGTACTCTCTGTTCCGAGAGAATCCCGGCGTTGTCGACATCGGCAGCGGGCTGAGGTACTTCAGCCTCTTCGACACCTAGATCAACACCGTGTTCGCAGCAATGTCGGCGCTGAAGCTGGACGACATCGAGTTGGTGGTTTCGGAGACGGGATGGCCGTCGAAGGGCAACCTACAACGGCAATCTCGTCCGTCGGATCTTCACTGGTGGATAATAAATTAATCATTTTATTTCTTTTTGTAATTTAATTAATTTTTATTAAATAGGTAATATGATAAATCATATACACAAAGTAAGTGGAATGATGACGTGGACAAATAATTTTTTTATTTCCACGTCATCTAGTTAACAGTCTAACTTTATAGTTGACTGCCACGTATGACAAATTTAATGGAGTGTAACGGCCAGTGACTAATGGTGAAAGGATTCGTAAAGTTAGTGGTGAATAAGAAAGAAAAGTAATTCGGGTGGTAAACGTGAAAGATTTTTATAATTCGAGTGACCAAACGTGTAATTTAGCCGTTCGAAAAGATGTGAACCATTATAATCATCGTCTTTGAAATTAAAGCACAACAAGCAATCAAATAAATTTGCACATGAAACAGGATCATATCTATTCTCAAAAGGTAGACACCAACAAATACACATGAGAATATGAGATCATATGAAGCATTCTATTCAAGCATCAGACCAGGATATTGTCAGATTCCCCCAGTCATCTTCAGGCACTCCCAGCGCCTCCCACACTGCTTTCACGATATCGTTAGGGCAAGGTGACTGATAGCCATGATCAGAATCTCATCCCATGGCCGAGTCACACTCATCAACAACCATTGCCCCAACCAGTGCTCCCATTGCCACCAATGTTAATGAATTCAAGCACCTGCTCTTGTTGTTGAACCATTCAGTCCAGAGCGCCACTATAGGCTCATTGTTGGAATGGTACTGCTTGTCGCACTCCGATGGCTAGCTGCTTTCCCCCTTCCTCGCAGCTGTTCTGTGTTAGAGTTGCCACGGTTTGGCTGGTGACTGGAGGCGAACATTTGAAGGTTCTGTAGTGCTCGCCATCATTACAGCAGTCGGATTCCTCACCTTGGTCGCATTGCCCCGGTGACGTTGTTCCAGTTATGAAGCCACTCGACTAGTATTGCTGTGCCTCGAGATAGGGAAAGAAAACCAGGAAGCTGATTAGAAGAATGCAAGAAAGGACTTCGTTCTTCTCGTCACCTTTCAGATTATGATGCTTCTCTCTGTTATGATGGTATGTAGTTTGAGGAAGTATGGGTTTCTTCAGCAGTTTTTATATGTAAGAAAATGCTCAACCAGATGCAGACGGCCAGGGCAAGGTTATGGTCTCTAAGAAGCTGGAATGAGAGGATGAGAATGGCTCACCGTTGCAAGTTTCTTGAATTGTGGAAATAGACAGCTTCTAATGGAGATAAAACATAGTTCAGACACCATATTACTGTTAGAGTGTGGTATATGATCCACGATTGAACCTCTCCTAACAACTCGAGTTATTGGGATCGACTGGTTCTTGACATATTATCAAAGCCTAAAACCGGAAAGTCATGTGTTCGAATCTCCACGACCCCCAATATTAACAGTTTATTAAAAGCACAAGGTATGGTGAGCATGTGCAAACTTCAAGCCCGTGAGTTGGCTTTCGTTTGAGGGGGCGTGTTAGAGTGTGGTATATTATCCACGATTGAACCTCTCCCAACAACTCCTGGTGGTTCTTGACAATTACTTTACTTGAGAGACAAGGAAAGAGTGGAGCGGCTAGTGCTTACAGGAGGTTTTGCAGCTGCATGGTACTGCACCTTCAAAATCCAACATTAGCTGCACGCCACAAATGTATACCAGAAGTTGAAGCTTTTGTCCTTTCAGGAACAACATGCAGACAATCTCTCTAAGTTTCGTAGGTCCCATTACATGAGCCTGGCCTTCGATTATCAAGATAAAGCTGGAATCAGAGAATCCCATGAGGAGAACCAAGGTTCTTCTTCACTAAAGTGAACTTATTAGACATATCAATTGTCCAGCATCTCAAGTAATCAATCCTGGACCTTAAAAACAGTGAATATGCTTAATCGCATGCTATGTTTCGGCTGACTATCAGACAGATGGCTGCAAATTTTGAGAGACTACATTAAATAGGAGACAGTTAAGCTGCCTCTTGACTAAAAAACAGCAAACAGTAGCTTACTCTATTTTCAAGCAGAAAGGAAAATAGAAGCTTCTCCAAGCGCACCTTGGATTATGGCTTCAAAAAGGGTCAAGGCAGGTATTGCTATATTTGAGGCAATTGCTCAACAATAGCAGTATAGTAGTTCAAAGTTCAGAAATCAAATGATTAAGAAAGTGGGAAGGAAATATGTTATCGCATTCAAGTTAAAGCAATATGGTAAATGAACAAAACTCAAGGAAAATTGAACAAAGATGAAACAAACTACATGGCATCTATGTTCTGCAAAAAGGATTCAAACATATATAGACCTAGACCTCACCAATTATACAACAGCACATGCATGAGAGCAGCTATTACAAACAACAAAAATTCGCAGCAGCCTTGCAAATCAGTGATACATTTCAGCGAACTTCATGCACAATTCACGATCTCTTTCATCCCCCCACCCACCCCAACCTTTGAACCCAGCTTGATACCCGGGTTGATTCTCGTACACCCTCACTTCCCACTCCTTGTTTACATTCACTGCCTTATCAGTCTCTTCCGCCACAATATTCATTGCACCATTATCAATGCAACCACTCTTCTTCTCCTTCTCCCCATGGCCCTGATGCAGACCACACTTGCCGAAATGGACAGCACTTGTCCTGGGCCCACGTAAGGAATACACAGGTCCTCCAAATGAAGGGTAAACTGTCGCCCACATCGTTATATCCCAATTATAATCATCAAAGAAACAAAACTCTTTGGCTTTCCGATGAATCTTCTCCCAAACGGTTCGATTGAACGAGTAACCCACGTTCCCCATTCTCTCGGCGATCAAACTGTTCCAATTCTCTCCTCTGGAGTTGACATCCGAGGGTGCTAAATTTGCAGCGTAGCAATCAGGGCATTTCACCGGCTTCAAATCAGCGAGCACCTTCAAGTTAAGGTATGCATTAGGGAAAATGAAGTGATCCTCCTCGATGAAGAGGATATGACCAGAGTGTCCCTTTGTCTCCTTCATACCATCCCATACCATGTTCATCATCCACCACCAGTGATGCTTCAGTGACACTATCTCGGGGGACCGGTGATTCCCATACTGATCTGGGTTCCCTATACAGCCCTTCTCGGAAGCATTATCTTTCTCCTTGCAGTCAGCTGGAGAAACACCAGGGAACCCCTTTGAGTAAAACACATGAGGCGAGTAAGGAGCAAATATCTGCTTCACCTGGCAAAACTTGATGCTTTCTACAATCTTGTTCATCTGTTTGAAGTAGCCATCATGGCTAACAACGAGCAATGTCTCGCTTATCCCTACAACCTTTGACAAGCTATCAACCACAACTTTCAGATACTGCGGTCTGTTGTGAACATACAACACAATGGTTATATGATCATCAGCTAGCTTGGGATACAGATCTAGATTCCTGGGAGGTAACTGGTTAAGCTTTTCTAATTGCAAGGATAGTTCGCTCTGCTTGGGGAGATTGAGCCTTGCCATAATGGCAGAAATGTTGTGAAGTGGCTCCAGATTGGTATAATAGGACTCATTCAGATTTCTTGAGACAAAACTCGAGACTGAATTTGTTCCGAGCAGGACTATCAGTAGCAGAACCCCTATCACCGTGACAAGAACGAGAGATGCAAATCGGCGAAAAGCCCCAGCTTTGAGCCGGGGTTTCTTGCCTTGGAGAGCCATTCACACATACAATTCATAAACACGTTGCATTCAAAATTGGCAGCTACTACTCATAAATAAGGTAAAATCAAGAGCTTGCCCCAGACAAACCTACTGAAAGCTTCCAGGTTTCTTCTGCAGCCAGCCGACCCAAATGCAGAAGACCAGGGGGCGGCATAAACCCAGAAACAACGAAGACCGCGAAGAGATCGGAGGTTTGAAACTTGAATCCCCAGCGACTTGACCAGACTTGAAAAAGGAAGAGTTATGGAGGAATTGAGGAATAGTTTGCCGTATGAAAGCTGGAAACTTTATGTCATCGGCGGTGAGAGTTTGGAGTTGGGGAGCTTCTTCGAAATCGCGATCAGCGGAGACTTCGAGACTTTCTTTGGACTGACCGGACAAGTATGGAAGGATTAAAACTTCTGAATTCTGATGGCTTTGCAAATTACAAAATGGACTTTTGTTGCTCTTACACGGTGTTTGGCATTTAGGAGGATTAAGATATATAGTTTGGAAGTTGCTATTGATGATATTATATTTAGGATAAATACAATTTATTACTCAAAATTTTCATTTTAAACAAAATGTTATAATAATTATTCCGGAGATGGATAAACAACACCATTAACACGAAGTAGAGGAGAAAGACTAACACCACTTTTATTCCATACTCTCGTATCCCTATTACAGAGGATTATAGACATAGAGATACGCGGAGAAGCGAGGGAGAAGAGAAGCTTGTTGTGGTGTATCTTTCCTTCTTCCATAGCTTTCCTTTTATAGCCATTGAGTGTAGAGTCCCAATCAAGGTTGTCAAACCGGTTTATGCCAGTGTGCAGGTTTAGAAAGTGAAATGATTCAACCAGTGGCACATACCGGTTTGTGTTGGTTCATGCCGGTCAATATTACAAATAAAATTATAAATACTCATATTAAAACATGACATTTAACGTCAACACCTAAACAATTATACTTGAATCCGACAAATAACATCAATATTTAACTTTTATACTCATAAAATAAATAATAAACTAATTTTTATCAATTAAATTCACTAAAATAATGTCATTTTACTCAGAGATTCATATATCGATCATGCCGGTCATACCGATTGTGTCATGCCGGTTTTATGACAGGTACCGGTTGAACCAGGTACAACCGGTGGCACGCCGGCCGGCGTGACAACCATGGTCCCAATTAAGTAGATGGAGGATGTGTATGATGAACATCCACTTAATACTATAACGGGTCGTTTGGATGCATCATTTTGTTTCTATGGTATTTCGAATCCAAATGATGCATTATTTTGCTATGTGGTATTTCATTTTGAAAATGTGGTAATTGGTGTAATTGTCTTGTTTGGATAAAACATTCAAATATTGTGCTATTTCACCACTTAAAGAAGGGATGAAGTGGAAAAAGAAGTTGGGAGATGACGTATTTGAAATAACTAGGGGGTGGGTAGGTATTTCAAATAACTCACAATGAGTTATTTCAATTGACTCATGGACAAAATACCACATTGTACTTTATTTTTGTCAAACCAGTTATTTGGATTGAAATACCTCATTCTGAGTTATTTCGACCAAATTACCTCATCAAAATACTGTATCCAAACGACCCATATACTTAATCATAATGGTGGTGATCTATAGTGGGTTGGGAATTTAATTAGGCTGGGAAGAAGGTGGTAGTTGAGGTACGTGGGCAATTGACATCCACATATATATTCATAATACTCCCCCTTGAATGTCTATTGATTAAGAACATGCCTCGTTAAAACCTTGCTAGGAAAACCCCTGTGGGATAAAAACCTAGTGAAGGAAAAAGAGTACATAGTTCTTCTGTTACGCGTTGTATACTGCCTCATTAAAAACCTTACCAGGAAAACCTAGTGGGAAAAACCTTAGTTAAGGGAAAAAGAGTGCAGTGCGTAAAGTCTCCCCCTTATGGAGAGATCTATCAACATCTCCCCCTCATGGAGAGATCTATTAACAGTTTGAAATCTTCGAGCTCCAATATATTTTCACATGACGTTGTGGAAAGTAGTATTGTTATAGACAAATCTGCTGGATAGTCATTTAACAAACTTTGCTGGTTCCACAATTTTTCATGAAGTTCGTTATTGAAAAACAAACTTCGCTAAAAATATCCTCATATAATACTTTTCAGAAGATACATGTAATATCACTTTCATATATGATCGTCTAGATCAATCTTTGAGAAATATGTTAAATGATGGATAACTTTATCAAATAGATCATTATTCTCATGTGATCTTAATCATCAATATATTTTACTCATTCTTATCATTTGTGCACCTTTTATATATTTCTTGATGCACATGACTTTCCCTTGCAAATGTTTGATTTGCAATCCAGGGGATAGTCTAGTTCTTTCAAGTTATTGATTACTTTTGAATACTCTTCTAGAATTTCAAGTCATTCAATAACTTCCTATGTTTGAATACTCTTCTAGAGTTTCAAACCTATTTATACCTTCAATTTGCATCGATTAAAATCATAAAATAACTAAATGATCAATATGGTGCGTTGATCCAATAGTTTCACATTGTATATACTAATTACTTCTCACTTTCATAGATGATCTCATAATCAACTTTTCTTGAGAATATACAACACAAAAAAAATCCTTCATTGTGGAATCTTTCATAATATTCTCATCAAAGATTTTCATGAATCTTTAATTTGCATAATAACTTATCTGGTCATGCCAAGCAATCAATTTATAACAAACATAAAGTTCAGGTTTATGGTTTGTTTCGTTACCTTTTGCTTTAGGAAGAAGGACTAACTAAGAGTAGTAATTCAACATAATAACATGTATTATGCAATACGTTAAGAATAAGGATACCAAAAAGGGGACGCGGTCGAAGTGGTACGGCCCTTTGACCTCAACTGGAACGTTGTAGGTTCGAGCCCCATTGAAGCCAGATTTCGAACCCTAAAGATTCTTTTAATAAACCATATCACTATATGTGGTAGATATGCTTCTGGCATTTAATGTGGGTTATGCTTACGACATATTACCCTACTAATGGGAAACTGTTGGATACAACATATAACACAATATCTCAGTATTGTCCCCTGATAATTTCGATATGCTTCTAACATTTTGTGGGTAATGTCGACCGACATATTACCCTACCTCTTTTGTTTCTTTCCAAAATTTCAAACCGAAATCTTCTTAATATTATCCAAAATCTACCACATTAACATCCTTATCTTATCCCCAATTTCGTCTATAAAACAACAACTTTCCTCCTTTTCATTTCATTCTACTCAAACCGAAAAATCATACATTATCTCTCAATTCCATCATTCTTCTTCCCTTCTTGGGAACTCTTCTCGTTCAAGGATCTAATCGAGTTCGGGTGAAGCAATGACTGAAGAAATCTCTTCCGCTCTAATCTTGCTTTGGGTGTCTTGGATCTTTATGATTTTGTTTCTCATGGCAATACTTATCTTGCTAGAGATACACTATCGCAATCATGAAAGCTACATTTCGATACACAAACGCGAGGATCATAAGCATTACTAGATATTTTCTAGTCTTTGATCCATATATGGTAGTATGAAAAATGAGACTTAGATCTCAAATCATGTATGATGTATGAATGTTATGAATAAAATGAAGTTTGAATACTTCATTTTATCAATAAATACAAACTTTTACTTCCGTAAAGTTTGTGGTATATACTTTATACTATATTCAACATCATTTTGGAGTCAAGTCATAAACACCCCATGAATCATTATATCAAATGGGCGTATAATCAAATCCGGTGTGTCCCACCTTGGATAAGCTCTTAAATGCTTTGCCATAAAAATCTTCAGGATATGATCACTTTATTCAAATAATTATTGATTAAATCCATGAAACGATTCAACGTATAACTGGTACGTTATATGGTCAATATCTTTGTCCCTTTTAATAAATCGTTGATTCAACTTATGAATCTATTTGACGTACAACTGGTACGATAACGTTCTTTCATTTTCAATCACTGACCAAATAAACATTTCACTTATGGTGAATGTTATTATGGTTGGTATTATAGAACCATTTTATCACTCAACATTTGACCTAGTTTTTCTTCACATTCACTTCTGGGAATGGAGTTACATCAAGATATTTGCTGAGTCAATATATCCCGTTTATCCATGGATTGTTTCATTGTAGACTTTTCATCATAATTTTATTCTTTTGGAATTGTAACTTCCCGAAATTTCTCCCGTTCATTTTACTTGCTACTGCTGGAGCAAAGTAAATAATAACATCGAGAATATATAATGGGAATCACCATCGTCTTCCGTAAATCAATCTAAAAGCTAAGAATATATATCCTGCCTATATCATTTATAATTATAGTAGCATAAACAACTTATCACTAGTTAGCTACTTGATAAACTAAATGGAAAAAGACATAACATAATTCATATATATATATATATATAGGTGGCTACTTCGACGCACTCACTTTTTTGGGTGCAAACTCTAAAAGTGTCCATAATACATCAATTTTGAATTTCAATTAGTACTCTCAATCTAATATGATGATATGACATAGAATCATAACAAATTAATCTATTACCCTAACCCCTTAACCTTCAATTTTGAATCCCAACCCAAAATTCCAAATTGTAAACCTAAACCCTAACCCTAAATCCTAAATCCTTCAAATTAAAGTAAATTTTGAATGATTTTTTTTCAAATTCATGTGCTTCTTTTTCATAATTCATAAGCAACAATTGATACCGTTTTGACATGAATCACATGCTCAGAATGATAATTATGAGGCGGGTGCACTGAGTGCACCAAAAAAAGTGGATGCACCGAATACGCCACTATATATATATATATGGGCGCAGTTCTACGGTGCCCAGGGCAAAATCTGGGGTACGGGTAACCGGGGGCAAGGAAAATTACCAAAAGCATCACAAAGCGTTTATGCTTTATTAATTGGACTTCAACCTAACTGTACCCAGTTTAATGATATCGATTAAGAGATTAAACCCTATGGATACGACCCGCCGCCCTAACCAATTTCCAGTCTCCCTTCTACGATCCCTCATTCGCCTTGGAGGGTCCCCTCTAAGTTCGAAGTTCGATCATAAGCTGCCTATCAAATCTGAAATCTCCAACAAAATCATCGTTTCGAAACCCAAATCCTTTTATTATTTGATCCACATTCGATTTAGCTCCCTATCCAATCTCAAATCCCCAACATCATCATGTTTCATACGCCAAATCTATGTATCCACATTCGAAGAGAAGATCCCCATCCAATATGAAATCCTCACATAATCATCGTTTTGAACCCCAAATCCTTTTATCCACAAATCGACGTTTTGTTCATCGCCATTTTATTTCCGTGCGGAATTTACTCGCCTATCTCTTTCTAACACGATTACGGCGACCATGTCTATTATTGTGTTCATCAAACTTTTCGTTTGCAA